CATCATCTCCCCAACACCTAGAAGAGGGCCAGGCATCTCCTAGCTGCTGAAAAGATAATACTATATGAATGGATAGATCCAAGAACTAACCACAAAGCAGGTGCTCTTTTACCCAGATCAGAATCCACCTGTTGAAGACGTCACACACTGGCTAGAGAGTGGGGGAAGTGTGATAGAAATTGCCAACTTCTCCTAATTCAGTTCAACACACACACACACACACACACACACACACATGCCAATCTTTTATCATGCTCCAGGCATTAGCCTTGAACTCAGGATTCAGCAAGCAAAGTCAGATTTCTACCTTCTTAAAAATTAGAATCTGGCAAGTGTCAGACATTAAACAATAATTAAATAGCCCTCACTTTGCACCAGGCAGAATTCTAAGTACTTTACTGAACTCTCTCGTTCAATGCTCACCACAACCATATATGTTAGGAATGATTGCTTTACTGAAGAGGAGTACATTGTCTTATCTGTCTTGTTTACTATTGACTGCTCTACACCATGCACAGCACCTAGTATAAGTAGATGTTCAATAAAAAAAAAGTCCAACACTGAATGAGTGCTTGAAAAGGGGAGGATAGTATTGAGACTCCATAGAAAAGGATTTGACCCATTCTGTCCCTGAAGATGTGCCATTTTATTTAAGACTTGAAGAATGAATAGGAATTTGCTTTGACTTGAAAGTGAAAACATGAGCATCCTGACTAATCTTAAATAAGGCAAATTTTTTTCATGGGATTTAGTTTCCTTCTTAGTAAAATGAAAAACTGTAATAATGAAACTTCCCCCAAAGGAGGTGGTAAAAACATGTTAAGAGAATTATCAGGATAACCTACCCCAAAACATGGACCCCAATGAGAGCAGGCAACAGGAAAGGTACTAGGAGAAACAGACAGTTGGGAAGCCTTAGGACTGTGGGTCCCAGGGCAGGGACTCCAACTAGGACTTTTTTTTTTTGGTACTGGGGATTGAACCTGGGGTACTTAACCACTGAGCCATATCCCTATCCCTTTTTAATATTTCATTTAGAGATAGGATCTCACTAAATTGCAGAGGCTGTTTTTGAACTCATGATTCTCCTGCCTCAGCCTCTCCAGAGGCTGGAATTACAGGCATGTGCCACTGAACCTAGCCCATCTAGGACTTTGCAGGGCAGAAGCGATTGCTTCTAGTCTCCCAGGAGGTCAGTTGGAAGGAACTTGGGAGTAGCGTGTTCCATAGCACAGCACTCAAGAAATTCTCAATTAATTGCTTTTTTGCTCTTTGATAGCAGAACCTGACATGCAGAAATCACATGGGAGAATTACTTGTCTCTAGACTCTGCTTGGTCAGACTCTAGGAACCTTCCCATGTACCACCTAAAATGGGTCACTTTTATCTTTCTCCCTTCCTGGGTTCCAGATTTCCCTTTCAGAGACCTCTTTCTGCTCTTGGTCCCCACTCCAGGCATCTCTGCCACTGCCTTAAAAAGACCCCATCCTTCTCCTGGTGACCCTCCCTTCTCTGCAATGACACTAGGAATATCAGAGGGCAATTCCAATGGCGTGTTAATGACTGCTAACTCTTCATTTGCTCTGTCTTCCAGTGAGATAACTGCCTTTTAAGAGAAGCCATTTGTAAATAATGCTTAAGGCAAAAGTGTAGGTCTCTAACATTGACCCTTGGGGCTTTTTAATCCAGACCTTCTTTCTGCTATTAAGAATAGGTACACCTTTAGAACAGGGATGATGTCGTACATGCTATGTCCCCCTCTCTATGCCTAATGCTGATTAAGTCATCTGAATGGCCACAAAGAGTTGGATACAAATGGTAAGGTACATGTGACTTAGGATAGAATATTTGGAAAAGTTTCCATCACCCTGACTCATCCAGGCAAAGCATGGAATTAAACTCCAGAGATTCTCAGATTCAAAGTAAGAAGCCTCTCATTATTCCCAGAGAGTCAGAATCAATTGGCACGGGGGCTGTTAGATCTGCATTCTTCAAAGGTGCACCGGGTGATTCCAGAAACACAGCATCTCCTTTGGATAAATTATCATATCCTCCCAGCCGGTTTTCTCCTCTGCAAAATGGGGTAACTGAGAAGATCAAGAGAAAATAAAAGATGAGAAAGACATTGAAACTATTTGATACAGTGCAGACTACCTGTGTCAGATTCACCTCCCCAAGGATATTTTTCATTTGTTTTCTGGCCCCCCTGCCCAGTCTGCATTTGCATAGCTGTGGTGCATGGGGCTGGCACAAAATTGGTCATTTGAAGCTTGGATTGGCCAAGACCTCTTTGATTAATGGTTTGCAATGGACTTACTAATTTGGGACTTACTAGCACCATTGATCATTTACTTCTTTTTTTAATATTTATTTTTTAGTTGTAGTTGGACACAATGCCTTTATTTTATTTATTTATTTTTATGTGGTATTGAGGGTCAAACCCAGGATCTCGAACACACTAGATGAGCACTACACCACTGAGCCACAACTCCAGCCCCATTAGTCATTTACTTCTAATGGAGGGGACAGGTTTTCATTGATTTGTTTTGTATTTGCTTAATTTTTGCTTTTATTTTTGTTTTCATTTGAGAATCATTATGGGAAATACTATTAATGAGTATTTTTTAATATTTATTTTTTAGTTGTAGTTGGACACAAAACCTTTATTTTATTTATTTACTTTTATGTGGTGCTGAGGATCGAACCCAGGGCCTCACATGTGCTAGGCTAGCGCTCTATTGCTAAGCCACAACTCCAGCCCCATATTAATGAGTATTTTTTCACTCAGAAAATACTTACTCAGGAATGCCTACACAGAAAATACTCACTCAGAAAGTATTTCCTAAGTGCTTGCTGTTTACTGAAGACTGAAATATATGAAGTTGAAGTTTGTCTACTCATGAATTTCATGCCTTTGTTTGATTGATCTATCCCACTTCATGATAAGTTCAAGTTTACTTCATTTGAGCTATGAAGACCTCTACCAAAAAAAAAAGGATAAATATCTTCCAAATTCTTTTACCTATAAATATTGAATTATCCATTCGGTGTTTCCTGAATATCTACTTTTGTACCAGGCACTGGGGTAGACATTAGTTATACAAAGGTGAATTAGACATGGATATCACTCTCAAGAAAGTTATAATTTCACTGTTTAGCTATCACAGGTAAGTAATTGTAGTAGTATACTGTGATATTACTGTTATAGAAAGTAGTAATTAAGCTTATAAAGCACTTACTATATGTTAGGAACTGTGCTAAGTTTATATTTTACCCTTACAATATTATGTAAGGTTCTATTATTATCCTTATTAGCCTGTAAGAAGGCTTACAGATGTTAAGAAAGTTGCCCAAAACCGCACACACAGTAAATCAGTGTTAAAGGTAGGATTCAGTCCTGACTATCTAACTGCAGTGCACCCCACTTTAATCACACCCCACCTTCATCTGCTCTTAGAGAAGCTCAGAGAAAGCCAACAACAACCTTTAGCAACTTGGTAGCTTATCCAATACCTACATCCTGATAGGTGTCGTATATTTATTCTCGTTTCTTTCAATAAGACATGAGGCTGACCTTAATATTATCCCCATCTTACAATTGGAAAAACTGAGGCTCACGGGTATTAAAGTTTGGTTCACATCTATCCAACCAGTAAGCCAATACCTTGGGGTTCAGGCTTGTGTTAGAATGACCCCAAAAGCTCACATACTTTCTGCTCTACCTCACAGCTGATCAGAGGTTAAATGTGAAGCGTTCCTGGGGAAGACTCCTCAGACACGCTCTCCTTCCCTGAGTTTGAGATCACTGACATAACAAACCACAATGCAGCTGAGGCATTGTGTAAGCAGCACCTTACTTGGGACGGCCCTACCTTGTTGGGCCTGTGGGTTTAAGGAGGGTTTAGCTTCTCATAGGACTAAATGGCCTGGCTCTGCCAACACAGAGTGGCATAGTGGTGGAAGAGTCGATTTGCATTATCATGCCTGGCCTCGTACTGTAATTACTTTATCTGTCTGTCTTGGGCACATCAACACATTTCTCCACTGCTAAGTTAGATATTTTTGTAAAGGAGGGAGCACATAAAAGCTTAAAAATGATTCTATTAGATTTTCAAGCCACACTTGTATTTTTATTTTATTTTTTAAAATCCCACTCAGGAATATTAGTTTTCTTTACAGACCAACTAAATCATTCCCTTGTGCCTCTGAATGCAGCGCAACAAACTCTTCATCATATACAATAGTGCCTCTTTCTCTTCATCATGTACAATAGTGCCTTTGATGGAACTTAAAATCCCCCACTGAAGCCCCATGCTGGCTGGCCTTCCACGGACCAGGTTTCCAAAGTCATTTTCTTTCATGGGATAAAACCAAACAACCCCCTCACCCCAAATTACTTGTAGTTGGTGATTGATCATATTCTTTAATAATCCATTCTCTCTCTCTTTCTTGTTCTGTCTCTCCCTCCCTCACTCCTTCTTGCTTTCTCTCTTAAATCTCAGTGGGAGTTGGGGGTAAAGTTGTTCAATCCTTGGATCAACTTCATTTTTCATGTTTTGTCTGCCATCGGGGTCCGTGGGTTGATAAAGGGTCAGTTCCCTTGGGTTGTCTCTTCTCTCATGTTGGGGCTTTATATTCTTACAGAGAGCAACTTGGAACTAAGTTACTGCTTCAGCATTAGGGCTGGCATCGTGGAGCACAGACTCTGTCTGTGTTAGTCCTCTGTCACCGACTACTCTACCCAGCTTTTGGCTTCACCTAAATGATAAATGGTCCTATTGTTTGAGCTTCAGTATTAAAAAAAAAAAATAGAACTAAATCTAGATTGAGCAAGGACAGAGACCCATTTCATTGCACTGTACTTTAATATTCCTGAGATCCATGCCATTACGGGTGGCTCCTTTTAACAGCCATCTCCCTCCAGGGCAAACACTATGCTGTCTTTGTTTCATCTGATCTTTCAGCTAAATAAGAGATGGTCACTTATCCTCACTACTCCCATATCCTGCTGGATTTCTATTGCTAAAAGAGGAACTGACCACACGGGGAAAGGTAGAGGTTTCAGGCAGAGCATTTCAGAGTGTGTTTACAGGCAGGACCGACTTACTCAGCAAATCCTGCTCGGAGGAGCTGCAGCCAATGAAGAGGCCACATCCCGGCTTGCTTGGGGGCTTCTGAGTTTGAGCTGCATGCAGAAATGTAAGGCAGTGCTTCCTGGCTCTGATGGCAAAATGGGACCCATCTCCAGTTATTCCTCGGGCTCCCCAGCTTTGCAGATCTGGGAGAGAACCTACATAAACATATTGGTGATGTAGCCAGCTCTGAAGACCGGGAGAATCCTTATGGATTCAGGAAACTGGTTTTTTATTTAGAATTTTATTTTTTATTTGGAAGATGAAATGCTTCTCTCGTTACCTGCCTTACATCTTCAGACCTCCGAACACCATCCTCTCTTCCAGCTGCCACACGGAAGGTACAGACCAGAGAGGGAGAGTGTCTGGGTGGGTGGCACAGAGTGGGCTGGTGTCTGACTTCCCACAGGTTCTGCTGACGCTGCTTTCTGCAGCTACTAGATGACTGTCGTTCCTGGCAAAAGCTTGTCTCTTTCAGACTTAGATCTGCTCCTAAAATCAGCCTGTCTTGTATAAAGAAGGGAAGTCTTTTCTGAAAAAGCGGGATAATGTTGCAAAGGTGATCTCCAAGCTGACAGCTGGTTAGAAAATAATGCAGAAATATTCTGCCAATTTCCCTTGTTCCATTTAACCTGCAAACAAGTCGTTGGAACTAGTGCTAAGAAAAAAAAAAAATTTCAGTAAGTGCTGCCACATACATTTATCCAAGCTCTCTGTTTTGTCACTGTCTGTTTAATAACTTGGTGCATGCCCAAGAAAGCAATTAGCAAAATAGAATTAGCTTCGTACATGTCTGTGGAGAGTTGATTGTTGGATTGGTTCACTTGGAGTCTGTACTTGGGTTATAGAGCACAGTTCACTTTCAGCACTTACTGGAAATGTTGTTTTGGGGGGTCCTGAGTCAATGCTTTAAAGAGAGGTTGAGCTGAGCCTGGTACACATTCCCTGGTCCCGGGTTTTTTCAGAGACCTCCTCTTCCACCTTCTAACCTGTGTGTGCTATTTGCACACATGTGTGTATGTTCTGTGTACACACGTGTGTGCCTTGTAAACACTCTGGCAGTTCTTCCACTAAGCACTGCAGGCTTCAATATTTCTTTAGTCTGTAGCTGGTTGTGCATCTTCTGTATGTGATTTGCCTGTTTCTTTCCAACTGACACATTCTTGAAAAAGAACAATTTCAAGAAAAGCAACTGGCTAGACATTTTTCAGCCTTAGGGACTGTCCTACAAGTGGTACTTTGAGTGAAGAGGGTAGACGATAGTGAGGTGCTGTGACTCCACCTCAGACCCAGCCACTCTCTTCTGGAACAGAGCTGGTGACCAGCCCATGGTGAAAACCCACCCTTGTTTTTTATCCTGAAAGCAGGAACCTGGTGTTGAGGACTGTGTACATAAAATGGGAGAAGCATGCATTATACCATAGGGTGATTTTTTTCAATCAGTATTCCCAAGGAAAAGGGAACAGATGTTCGGGATAACCCTCAAATTGAGACTGAGGATGGTATTTTTCATAGACATTGATATCTCATAGATTTATTTTTACAATTGCATGTTTCCCTTTAAAAATTATATTGGCTGCTAAGTGTAATAACTCACTGGGAATATTTTTTCTTCCTCATGGATGAAAACCTAAGTCCCTACATACGTTGGGGTGAGAGAGGAGAGGACCATTGGCATTGATCAAAATCTCCAGGAGAACTTTCTAAAATACAAAAGGCCTAGGGACACACAGGAAGCTGCATAGATGGCTTTTGTATTTCTGATTGGTTCCCTGTCTTCTCCCAGCCTAGACTGAGAATTCTGTTCAGTTCAGTTGCTGTTTGTATATTAATCAAACTAGATAATCCTACATCATACAAACAAAAACACCACAAGAACTTTCATAAAGTATCATTTAAATGCAATTTAACTGATTAGCTCCATCAACATGGAAAGCCCACTTTGTGTCAAAACAATTTCTACTTCATCCACTGTCAGCAGATGGTGGGGGGCATGTATTGAAATTTGTTGTAATCATAATAAATACAATGGGTAAGAATAATAACATCTGCCAAACTCATGTCGGGATGAGGCCCTGTGGCTTAGTAGAAAAGGCCCAAGGTAGATACCAGAGAAGCAGGACCACATGTCTGAATTCCTCTAGGCCAATTTCATCCATAGTATGGAAGTAAAGACCTTCTCTTATGGATTTGTAGAATTAAATGTGATAAATAATGTTCTTCATAAAGCTCAGCACACGATAGGTACTATCTATTTTTGAGCCTCACATTCCATGTGTTTTCTTTCCTTTTTTAAAATTTTTTTGTAGTTGTAGATGGACAGAATGCCTTTATTTTATTTGTTTATTTACATGTGGTGATGAGGATCCAACCCAGTGCCTCATGCATGCTAGGCAAGTGCTGTACCACTGAGCTACAGCCCCAGCCCCCATGTGTTTTCTTAAAAAATATTCAAGTTTTCTTTTTTACTTATACCATACTTTACTTATACCATATACTTAAACAATGAGAGACTTCCTGAAACACATTATTGTGTCACCAAAAACTAGTTACCATACTGAAAGTTTGTCTGAGGAGAAAAAGTTGTTGGAAATGAGTCTGACTTTATTTTTCGTGTGTGTGTGTGATTCTCTTTATATTGTAAGCAATTATGTGACCCTGGACATGACTCTATTTCAGAAAAGTTACAACTGTGTTCTTCACATTTTATTTAACTGAAAAAATGAAGAATGAATAATTTATGAATATCCCTATGAAAGTCAAATGAATTCAAATGATCCAAATAGTCTCCCTAAGAGTAATTGTAGAACAACTTTAAGAGCTTCACAGTTCCTGGGCTTCTTAGTGGACACACCATCACACTTTGAAGCTTCAGGTTATCATGAGCTTTGACTCCTAAGCTATGCCACTTGCCAACTGGGTGATGTTAGATAGTTGATTAACTTCTCTGAGCCTCGGCTTCCTCATTTGTAAAATACGGGAGAAAAATACTCCTAGGGCAGTTACAAAGAAATACACTCAGAATTTCATACACAAAGTGCTAATAATAATGATGATGAGCAGAGCGTGGTGGCACATGCCTGTAATCCCAGTGGTTTAGGAGGCTGAGACAGAAGGATCGTGAGTTCAAAGCCAGCCTCAGCAACATCAAGGCACTAAGCAATTCAGTGAGACCCTGTGTCTAAAATAATACAAAAAAGACTGGGAATGTGGTTCAGTGTTTGAGTGCCCCTGAGTTCAATCCCTGGTAGTAATAATAATAATAATAATAATGATGATGATCAGCCTTCACTTACATTGATACAATGTCCAAGACATTTTATACAATAACACATTCATATACATTGAAATTAAGAATATGTGTTTCACAAATAGTTCCTTTCCCTGCCCCCTCAGCTCCCAAGCCTGTTTTTTTATCCATCAGATGGAGATTTGGTTCTTCATATAGCAGCCAGAATGATTTTTTAAAAATACGATCATCTTCCCACCCTCCCCCTCAAACATAAACACACATTGAAAATCTCTCCATGGTTTCCCACACCCTACCCAGGCCTGGCTGTTCTGACACCTGTCCACTTCTTACCTAGGCTCAGGCATCTTCCTCCTGCCTGGCCTCCCACTGTGAGAGCCATCATGGGTTCCCCAACATCTCCCTGCAGCCACAGGCTTGTAGGATGCTCCTTTTCCCCTCCACCCTACTACCTCACTAAGTTAGCCTTCAACTCTCAGCTCCAGCTAAGAAAGCCCTGACCCTCAGTCAATCACAGCTCTTTAAGAACTGGTTTCTTCACTCAGAGCACTTAAGTCTAGTTTGTCATTATGAATAAACTGATTAGACTATTTTATTAATATCTGTCTCCCTGATATGCTGAAAGTTTTGTAGAAGCAGAACCCAAGCATAATTTTACTCTCTATTGTACCCCCAGCACTAGAACAATATCAGGTACATAATAGGTACTCCATAAATGCCTATTGTGTGCCTGAATCAAAGGACAACAAGTACCAAGGCTGTATAGATAAATTTTAAAATCATACGTGGAAAACATATCCCAAACATTAACTCCCGTGTAAGTCATCTTAATCATTGTGGGGTGGGGGCTTTGTAACCAGATTTAAGGGGACAGGTCTTATTGATCGCAGTGCTCTTCTTCAATTTGAAACAGAAACAAGGGTAACCGAATAACACTGATACAGGATCGGGGTTTCGAGCAGACAGTTGGGCGATCTTTGCTTCTCTGTGGACCTCGTTAAAGAAGCACATAACTCCTGCCCCCTCGGTGGGAGAGGATTAATCCAGAAAGATTGTTTCAGGATTGGAGGAACAAAATCCCAGCCACAGCCAGAAAGAAACCAATCAAGACAGAACAGAGGGATAGCAAAAACCACAGGAAGGGTAGGGCCCGCGAAGACAAGGAACCTTGCCTGGTGCCTTTTTTGGGGCCTGATTTGGCAGCGGACACTGGAGGGCCCCTTTGTTACATAAGCAGTCAGGAGGGATGCCTTTTCCTAAAGGGTCAAGGGCCATGTCCCTCGCCATGTGCTCTTTTCTATCCCTGATTTGTCCTTGTCACATTTTCATCTGCAAACCCCTGCTCACTCTTGAAGACTCCACTCAAGTCTTTCTAGGAAGACTTCTTTAGCAGTTCCAAAGAGGAGGTTGTTATGAGTCACACAAATTACAGTCACAGCCAGGAAGAGGCACCTAGAAGCAGAAGTAGCTGCCACAAAAAAATCCTGTGGACCCCAACTGTGGGCCCAGGGCAGAGCCAGTAGCCTCTGGCTCACTCCTCACCACAGCATCTATCTTAAATGACTCAGATGAAACTTGCTAGTGAGTCAAGTGGCAAAGCCAAGACCCACATCTGAATCATCTGACCCCAACATCAGTGTCCTTTCCCTTCGCCACTGCCCACCTTCTAAGCGCTGGTGAGGACAGCCCTCAGGTTAGATTGCTACAGTCTGTTTATGCCTGTCTGCAAGGTGGTCAGGAGCCACTTAGACACAGGGATTCTATTCCATTCATCTTCAGTGGTTTACAAGAGCTCAGCTCTGAGTATATGCTCCAGAAATCCTTTCAAATGAAGTACTGAATGGGAGAGTGAATGAACAGATTCACCCCTCTCCTATCAGTAAGGATCTTGGCCAGGAGGAAACCTCTTGGAGCTGAATATCTTTCCATTACACCCAAAAGGAGGCTTGCTGAACATCTACACATGTGCATACACACGCACACACACAGGGGAAAGTACACCACGTTTTTCTAACTATTATGTTATAATAATAATAATAACAATACAAAAATAAGAAAAAAACATTTGGTGCTTACTATTTGCAAGGGAAA